GGTAAGGAAAAGACCAAAATACCCCTCTTAAATCCGGGTAACTTTCCTTATTTGGATAACCTGACTTCAAACGGGCGTATCTCCCTCATACGAGCTCAAAATGTATCAAACTCAGTGGCGTTAGAAAGAGGATTCCAAGACCTTTCATTTTATATCTTGTAGCCCACCTAACTCATCCTATACTGAAGTTTATTATCATTTTAAGTTGACCCAAAACTTAAGGAACCTAGGAATGACTTGAATGAACTCTCTTTAGTTATTCTTGGAACTCAAGGCAATACATCTAGCGACCTTAACACTTGAGAAGTTTTAAATTCCTCAGTAAAATCCTACTCACAACGAAGGATGGTTTGAGTTTTAGCTCAAAATTTTTTTGGGGTGTTACTGCCTATGACACATCATGTAGAGATATGAATCCTACTCCTCCTACTTCTTTAGGAAAGAACATGTTGTCCCATGATGCCCGGTGTTTGTTCTTTGATCCATTCACATTTCCCTAAAAGAATCTCGCAAAGATTCTATGCATCTGGTTTATCACATTCATTGGTGGGTTCATGGCAGATAATATGTATACTGACATTGATTGTAATACATGTGTTATCAATATGTATCTTCCTCCAAAAGTTAACAGTTTGTTCTTCTATAAGATCATTCTTTTCATCACCTTCTTGATCAATTACTCAAAATGTGTCTTGTTCTTTTTCCATAAAATAATGTGAATCTAAGGTAGGTAAATGGGAAGGATCCTTGTCTTACTCCTGTTATCCTTCTGATTTGGTTACTACTCTAGATGGGACCTTTTCATAAAGATATACCAAAATTTTAACCAAATTAATCATTTGACCTGATACCATCTCATAGTTCCTCAAAATAGCCATAATTTTCTTCATAGAAATAGGTTGTCATGAGCAAATGAGGATGGTGTCATTTGCACATGATAGGTGATTGATCTTTGGGCTCCATTTGGGCATACCATATCCATTAAAAGTAGTGCCCAGAAATAGCTTGTACAAATTCCTTGCCAGTACCTCAGCTGTACTAATAAACAAGGTAGGAGATAGAAGAAGTACTTTTACTATTCTTTCATGCAACACTCTAGAGATTATCTTATTTGTAAAAGTGTTTAGGCTGATGGGTCTTAGATCCCTAAAATTTTTAACCACCTCCTTCTTAGGGATTAGAACCATATTAGTGTAAGTAACATACCTGGGAAGCTCTTGCTGACAAAAGAATGCCTTCACCGTATTTGTGATATCATCACCAATGATTTCCCAACTAGATTGAATAAATTGTCCAGAGAATCCACCAGGACCACTGACACTATCTCCATTTAGGGCAAAGACCATCTGCTTCACTTCCTCTCTTGTTGAGGCTTTGGCCATTTCTTCATTCTCATACTCTGTGATCAGCTGTGGGATACATTTCAGCATTTGCTCATTATTTTCTTCATGGTTTTCACATAATTGCTTTTTGAATACATTCACAGCTTCTTCCCCTATGTTTTGAGTAGTGTTTATTATTGCCCCCCTGCACGGTCTCTATTTCATTGACCTGTAGTTTCATCCTCTGGCCATTCACATAAGAATGGAAGAACTTTGTGTTTCTATCTCCATTTGTGAACCACTTCATTCTTGCTTTTTGCCTCCAATATTCCTCCTTTATGTGTATATATCTTTTGTAGTCTGACTCTGCCCTTCTTTAGGGAACTTGTGTTTTCTACAATTGATGATATTTCCAATTGTATCTCCTGTTCTTTGACAATGTCCTCAAGAGTGGAAGTCTTCTGAAATATATTGCCAAAAGTTTCCTTAATCCACATTACCAAGACAATCTTAATCTTCTTCATCATAGTATGGACCAGTGATAACACTCAACTACATTTCTTCTGATTCAAAGTGTAGGCGGTCGCTAACAAGTATCAAACCAACTATGAGTTGGGGTCGATCCCACAAGGAGTAATAAGGTAAATAATTCAATTAAGACGTGTTCTAATCATTTGTAGAAGTGAAAGATTGAGCAACATAAAATAAATTACTAAGTTTCAATTATCGATATCAAATAGGGGAATTCAGTAACTAATTTATAACAAGGAACAATTAACACGAGAATTAAATGATTAGATATTGGACCTTAGGAATGTGATCAATGGAATGATAATTTCTCTTAATGGGTAATTACTAATTGCTTAAAGTTGTTGAATCTCAATGGGTAAGATATGTTTTTGAATACAATAACCAACTCTCGATCAACTATCATTTTTCAAGTGACTTCTCTCGAACCTCAACAAGCTTAACCATACCAAACAATCTAATTCCTTAATTAACCCACTTTCTCAAGCTGGATTGTAAAGATACAAATCAATACAATTATCAATCATTCACTCTACATTAATACCTCTTTCTCAAGCAAGCATAGAGAGCTATGCTAGAACCAAATTTGCAACTTCATTTCATCAATTAGAACATGAACAAATAATTGAACCCATTTCAAAACAACATTAAATTCAGCAATTAACACTACTCGACTACATGATCACACCCCTAAGGTAAGAGGTTTTAGCCAAACATAGCGAAAAGTAAGAAATCATTACCAAAAATATTATCCATCTAAATTGTTAACAATCTGCAATACCCAATGCCAAAATTAAAGTTAGAATCCTAAAACCTCAAATCCGCGATCCAAAACTTCTCTTAGAATGTTCAATAATGTGAAAATGTAAAAACTCTCAAAGACTCAGGAATACCTTCTCTCAGAACTCTTTTTTTTTTTTTTTTAAATATGAATTTATATGTTCCAAAAATCTCAGCATGGAGACCACATGGCGAGATAAGTGAAGATCGCCGAGTCGGCCGATCGACTCGGTGATCCGCCGAGTTGTGCTTCTTCTCGCCTTTTGGATTGACTCCTGCATCAAATTGTTCTAGAAGATTAGGCGAGCTGGGTCGTGATCATCTTTTGCTCACCAAGTTGGCTTGGTACATAGGCTACTTTACTGGAACTTTTGGCGAGCTGGAGGTTCACTCGACGAATCACTGAGTGACTTTTGCGATCTCCAACTTCTCTTTTCTTTAGCTTTTCCAACTCTTTCGCTCCTTTTCGTATCATAATGTCCTTGCCTTGTTCTTAAATTTTCAATGTTGCATATCAACACATTAACATAAGTTATGACCACAAAGTAGGCATTGAGGACACTAATTCATTGAATAATAAGCCCTAACTTAGTCGAAATTCCTGACTCATCAACACCCCAACTTAAACTTTTGCTTGTCCTCAAGAAAAACACAAGATCAATCAGGACACCATGGATGTCTACAAATAGTGCTCTTTGAGACTCAACATGAATGCACACAAGGTTCAATCTACACATGCAATGCTCAATTGTGCACTAAAAGTTTCAAACTACGACAAGCCATCATCAAATAGAGTTCAAGCTCACAATGCTTACTTCAAATGAAAATTCATGCCCAACAAGAGTATTTGAAAGCTGTCACATCAAGATTGATTCCATTCTCTTCACAAAGCCAATCAAGGAATACAATTAAAGAATCGAAATAAACTCTCACACTCCCAATGAGAATATCATGCACAATTTTACCCATAGGCTTGCTCGTATTTTCCAACCAACACATCACTCGGCTTATGCAAGATCAAAAAGGTCTTTCAAGGCTTGGAATTGGGCTGAGGGTACATGTATGATCATTTTGGCTTAGTGACTTCTACCTTCATGAAGCATGGCTCAAATTTCACTTCATCTCCTTTTCTTTCATTCTTTTCATTTTCACAACTCATCCTTGGTATATTCAAAGCATAAATTTTTTTTGGTATAGCTCATTAGACACCTCTTTTATTTCCACAACCTTTCTCAAATGGATACAATTTTATCATTTCTTTTTTTCTTTTCACCTTTTTTTTATATATGGAGAGATTTCATCTTTTTCTTCATTATAAGTTCCCAAAGATGAATATCAAAAACTTCTTGTTCGATTTCTTTCCTCATTCTTACCACACCCCCAACTAAGGGTTTTGTCTTATGTTGGCCAGTCCAACAAACCAATGCTTCACAAAGGTTTTAGGTGGGGAAGAAAAGGCCATATTTGTTCATGTTTCATCCAAAGAAAAGGTTAAGCTCAAATGGTGACAATCTAGGTTCACACACTCACAAGGTGGTCACATAAATGTATAACAATTAGGTTCACTCTAAAAAAATTATGGCTAAGATCATTTCCTTTATTCACCAAAATTAGTCAATTGGACAAACATGGAAACTTCTAGGTATCACAAGGCACATATTTCAAGTAAACCTCACCACACAAGGCGTTCAACACAATTATCATTCATGACTCTACAAATTAAACTTGCGTGCAACGATCATTACAAAACTCACTTCGACAATCTGACTAGTCACAATGAGATGCTAAGAGTTCACACATGACTTATGCAACTCAAATTTGCCTCGTTGGACTTGCACACACATATCGTTCATCAAGATCAGTATTCAAGTCATCGGTATTGATCACAATCGACACTCAAATATACAAGACAACAACAATCACACACAATCATGTAATCAAGAGAGAAACAAATGAAATAAAGCCAATATCCATTCACATTCAAGAAACAAGGAGAAGTTTTAACAAAAAAAGTAAAACAACACAATATCCAAAAGATAAACTAAAAATAAAATATAACCAAAAGGCTGGGTATAAAACTACCTTCACCACCAAAAAACCTACACAATATCCTCAATGTGAAATAAAAACTGAAATGTATCAATATTAAATAAAATGGAGGGAGAGTAAAAATCCCCCTGTCAGGCTAGGAACTTTGCACATATGGGTGGCCTTAATCTAGGCATCAGTGCCCAGCTCGACTCCAGCTCTTGAGGTCTGTGCAACTATCTTCTCTGTGTGCTGAGACCCACTCGAGGCAATCATGGATGTGTCGCGCAGTGAGACCTCCGAAGCCACCCGTACCAAATAACCCTCCAAATCCTCTACATCCTAAAAAATTGTCTTATCATGAGCCCCTAACTCCTCCTCATCTATCTCGGCTGTATCAGACTCTCCATCATCGTCAGCTGTAGCAGCATCTTTGGTCACAATAGATAGACGGATCTCAGAAACAGCTGGCATATCCGCACTGGATCCTCGAGAACATCAACATTACCCTACATCATCAAGATATTGATGTACTTCAACTCATCCATATCACGTCGGAGACCGATAATATCAGCCTTCAAGGCTGTTACATCTACAAAGCCATGGTCTGACGTCTTGCATACCTCAACCTGAGCTGTGAGAGTATCCCATGTTTCCCCATAGGTCATGATCATCTCCCGCTGTACTGTCAAATCCCCACGAATGGGAGCCAATGCTGCAACTATTGCTTGGTCGATCATAGAAGGCACTAGACCTCAACCCTCGAGGCCCTCACATCGGTTGAATAGGCAAGGTTGCCTATTTTGTATATCATGGCCTATGTCAAAGGGGGATGAAAGGCAGTAGCTGGAGAAGGGGAAGTGGAGGAGCAAGGTATACCTATGGGCTCAAATGACGGGGTAGACTAAGTAGAGTTCTACATCGACAACCAAAAAAGTGCCTACAAGAGCCTTCTTCCTCCTTTCTGCTTCATCTTTCGTGTACTCAACCTCAATTATTAGAATATCAGTAGACGATGTCGGAGTCACCATAGTATCTGTCTTCGCCCAAAGAGCACACCAGCTCGGTGACATAGATCACTAATAAGCACTAGAAATGGAAATGAGGTTTGGTTTTGTTTTCCCTCATCACCAACTATTGTGAAATTATCATCTCGAGATTTAGTCACTGCCGATCAATAATACAGCCCAACAGTGAACCTTTTGGATGCCGGACCATACACTCATTTTGTGATGGCATCAATGTGTTGCTAATAAACACAAACTATTATCGGGTTGTGACATTCAAATCCTTCTTCTCAATAACACCTCCTGCCTCTAGCCAGAGAGGTGTGGCATCACTCAGCAACGGGGCCAACCACCTCTTCAAATCTTCTAAAGTTTTGATTTTCACCATGTCGGCCAAAGAATGAATACTGCGTGTACTGCAGTCCAACAAATCATTGATATATGTTTCATTGCACTGTACCTTCTTACCTCGCACCTGTACGTAGTCTATTGGTGCCATCAACCCAATCTTCTTCTTTCCTTTTGGGATCAACCTTGCATAACCTGCATAATACTCCCGAACACATGAAAGAACATATGGATTTTAGGGGTTGGTGAACTGCTGGAACTTCTGGAAACGAAGTGTCTCCCACACACCGAGAATTCTATCTACAACACCATTAGTAGACAACAACTTCTCCTCCAAGATAGTCCGCAAACCGGCTCCTTTCACTCGATTCATAGATCAAGGAGGATGTGCTGGGTCGGGGGAACTTGAGGTGCCTATGCTGTTGTAGGTGCTAGAGGCATCGAGAGTGCTGGAAGTCTAGCCAAATGATCATGAACATCTTTAGATCGCAATTTTGAGTGCTTCCGTTTGAGCAACTCTCCCTCAGTTTCCGGTGTATGTATTGGTGTCCTGATCCCCGCAAATTCCTCCCTCTCAAAGTCAAAGGAGGTGAGATGAGTTGAGGTTTATGATGCGTAGCTCGGGGAGATGTGACCCCCGTTGTGATTATAACCCCTTTTGTCTTCTTTTGGGGTGTTGTACCTCTTACAAGAAGCTTTGGTCAAGCCATATTTGTAGAAAAACACAAATAAAACACATGTGGTTGGTTGCAAAGGGTTAGCGAAATATCATTTTTAAAAAGTTGCAGGAAAACTCGCCAAACCACTCGGTGAGTCGTCAAGACCACTCGGCAAGCAGTAGAGGGCTCATCAAAACTTACAGAATAAATCAGCAAAAATTCCGTATAAAAAGGGCGAGAACAAAGACAGTTCGGCGAGTCTCTGAGTTCACTCGATGATCAGAGGGTGCTTCATCGAATGTTACAGAAATAAATAGCCAAAAAGGAATAAAAACGGCAAGACTAAAGCCATTCGGCGAGTCGCCAAGTCTACTCGGTGAACACAAGAATATCGATGAAAGTTATAGATTAATTCACCAACATTGCAGGTCAAAAAGGCAATAAGGAGGTCACTTGGCAAACCGCCGAGTCACTCGGCGAGCTCTATTCAGCTCACCAAATGGCCCGATATGACAGATTCCCAACCCAAACTCCAATTCTCAATGAAAATCCAACGACAACAAATTTCAAGTACAATTCTATGCAATTCAAGCCATACCACAGTGATTATCTATGCCGGGGGTACTCAAACTTCCCCTCAATTAATATAAATTCAACCAAACAATGATTTTTCCCTGAAGCACAACGTCACCCCTTCCATAATTGAGGAAATTCAAGTTTTTTGGTAGAATTTGGATTACTTAGACTTCACCTGCACAAAACCCAACATGGATACCCACAATTCAAGTAATTCAAATAGGAAACTCAAATTAATTTAGGCTAAATAAGTTATCAGGCATGCTTGATTTAAAATTATATTTGAGCGATCAATTTAGCACATAATCAAGGCAACTAATAGATCTATAAACTACTCATACCCATGCTCAACACAATATATGCAATTTAAAACAACTTCGGAAAACCAACCTCAATTGTAGACATGAAAACACTAAGACATAGAGAGGGGGATGGGCAACACTTCAGATTCCGACCATATGAAGAGACCCATGGAAATTAAACTAGAAAGATAAGATATAAACTTTGAGTGTAAGAGTGCAAGATTCAAAAATTTCAAAATAAGGAAATGATTTGAATTTAAAACAGTTGAAAGGCCCTTGCCATTAAAGTTTGCGCCTCGATCGGTGAGGTCTATTAACGCCACCGATCCACTCGGCGAGTAACCGAGTGGACTTTAGCCACCAAATTTAACAGAAAACCAGCCTTTTAACTGGTTTAAAAGGCGAGCTTTGTCGGGCTCGCAGAGCCACTCAGCGATTCATCGAGTGGACTTTAGCTAGCCTCATTGCCTTTTCCTCCCAAAATTTGAATTTCAACCTGCACATCCATAAACGTTATTCAAATAACAAAAAGTAAAACTTGGGTTTCCTCCTAAGAAGCGTCTTATATAACATCGTGGCACAACGTGGCCATGCATTCAATCCTCATTCTTTGGATTGAGTAAGGTATCACTAGGAAGACCCCCTTTCAATCTTGGGTTTATGTTAGCTGAGATTTGGCCTATTTGAGTCTCAAGCTGCTTTATGGAAACCGAGTGTGAGGTCACTGTCTTATTTAAAGATGAGACATCATCCTTCATCTCCTTCAGTACCTTATACAACCCTTCTAGCTTGTTTAGGATGCGAGCAAGCATATCCTCGGTCCGAACATTTTTGGGATCGACTTTTTTTTTCTTTGGCTTCAGACGTTAATGAGAGGGCACATAAACAATCTTTATCAACATCTATATCTCTCTAATTGTTACCCCGATCACACCAATCTCGGTCTCGATCTCTCCAACCATCATCACGATCTCTATTCCAACCTTGATTCCCACCCGACCTTGGATAGCTCTGATGAGAACCTCCTGCTTGGTTTGACAAAAAAAGTACTTATTCATTGTACATGTCCTCAAATTGCATCTCATCATGACTCACACTATTAGCACCAACTGCATTCACAACCTTGTAAGGACTTCCCATGACATGTTTTGTCAATAGGTCCATTTGGATCATTATTTTGGCCATGTTTTCATCACGTTCTTGCTTCTTTTCCAATTGTTCATTTGTTAGCCCAAGATTCAAAGGAGACACCTGATCTTCCCTTGTGTACCATGCACAATTGATTTTGGTCATCTCATCCAACAAGGCCGATGCTATGTCAAATGTTTGTCTTATGATCCCACCTTGAATAAGTTGGTCAACGACACCCTTGTTGACAGTGTGAAGACTTGATGTTAGCGTAATCAAGACACAACTTCCAATTCAAGTGTCTACGATCGTACACTAGTAAAGTAACCCAACCAAGGGTTGGGGTCCCAAGCGAGTGGTTTTTAAAATTAATAGAAAAATAAAATTACGTTCTAATTAGTCATAGCTATAAACATTATCGAATATAAACACACTAAATCTAAAGGGATGACGCAAGCGTCAATTATCGATGGGGGGTTTTGTATTAATTAACAACAAAAAACAACAAAAATATATAAAAACGTGATAGAGAGACGTGATTCTTGGGATGTGATAGGAATACGGGATAGACTAAATTATCGGGTACATGCTTTTGATAGTAAATTATCGAGTATTTGTAACTAGGCTAGACTATAGTGGGGATACATTCTCTCTCGAGTAACTTATCCTGAACTAACTCGGTTTCTCTCAAATACCGACGTGACGCATTAAGCATAACCTCTGCCTTAGCCCATTCACTCTCTCGAGCTGAATCTGTGGGAAAAAGGACTAGGATTCACTCTCTTGAGCTGAACCCATGTAGACCCAATTCCACTGGCTATCAATTTATTAGTCTTAGTTTTACGACCACTCTCTCGAGCAAGCCAAAAACACTAAGATGAAATCGTATTTGCAACTATAATTCCATTAAGTTCATACACAACTACTAAACGAAATAACATCTAAACAACAAATAAACCATCAACAAGCAAGACCCAACATATTCTAACCCATATTCACAAAATCACACCCCAGGAATTGGGGTTTTAGCTAGACATGTAAAAGAGATAAAAATTTATACCAATATCAGTTTCCATCAATTGGATATGAAGGATTAAGTCTTAAAACATGTCAAGAGTGAAGAATCTTCGAGACCCACATCCAATTTCTTGGAGTTGAAACCCTTTGAATCTTCAAGGTCTTAGAACAAAGTCTCCAAAACCCTCTAAAACTTAGACTCTCTAAACACTGTAAAAAGTTCAAATAATTATAGTGATATGATACTAAGATAGAAATTTAAACAAATATTTATAGTGTTTGAAAATTTGTGCTTCAGAGGACCCTTCAGCGAAGTTAGTCGGAATCGCCGATACACTCGGTGGTCCGCCGTTTGGTCGATTTCATCGCCTTCCTATTTTAACCTTCAGCCCCCTTGTGTTTTGAGTCATTTGGTGATATGGTACTACTTCACGGAACTGCTCGGCGACGTGCCGACTATTCCATTTCATCGCCAACTTGACCTTTTCCTTTAAAGCTCAGCACACTGGAACAAAACGCGATCTCTAGGCCAATCGGCGACTCGCCAATTGGGCTCGACGATCTTCAGGCCTTCATTGCTTCGTTCTTTTCAGCCGCCTTGTTCCTTCTTGCCAAGTGGTGTCCATGCTTTGCCTCAACTTAACGATTTTCATTAGATATTGAGACAAAATATGCATTTGAGAACAGTAATTCTATTAAAATA